ATGTAATTTTTATATTATATTTCATAAATATAAAATAATAATAATTTGATCATGACCATGTCCATATCCCTATCTTTGTTAAGTAACACCTTTTATTTACAAGTAACAATTTTAACTTTGGAAATGATAAAAATATATAGAACTTCTATATCTTTGTGTGTGTCACAGTGTATTAGTAGTACTAGTAGGCCTATTTATTTTGTTTATATAGCTACTATTGTAGTATTTATTAATATTTTAAATAAGCTTCTATTTTCATGTTTAGGCTACAGTTTGTTTGTAATTTTAGTTTAAGCGTTATGAATTTTAAGTGCTTTTGTCATTTTTTTTGTTGATCTATTTAATTTATTAAATAAATGTATTTAATATATTAATTTTCATCCGAGGAAGTCCACACACACCTACCAATGCATTGCACAACAATCTCTAATCAGATTAGCTAGTCTTCAGTTTATGTTGGTTTATACACTTTAATTTATTTTTATTTCAATTTTACTTTTAGTCATTTTTAGTACGTTTTAGGATTCACAGATTTCACGCCTGGAAATATGTGGAAATATTACGAAGTCTGTAAACAGGACGTTAACAGAGGCTAGAGGCGGGACACGACCACTGATCTATAATAGAGAACATATATCATTTATATAGATCAGTGGACACGACGCGCTAGCACAGAAAATACTGTACAAGCTCACTGTTCGCGATGCTACTAAACACTGAATCAGGGGAGGGGGCTTATATGAATGTAGCATATCTCTGAAGAGAAGTTACTGTCTTAAATAAAAGTTGCGATGGCATTTTCCTTTCATCATACCTTCATATAATGCATATTAAAGTAGCGTTATTAAGCGTGCAGCTGCTTTGTTTACATCGGTAACCAAGGAAACATCATTGCGGCAGTTCCATAAGCGCCACCTGCTGTCAGAGAGTGAGTTTGCGTTTTTAGCATAATTTCACAAATCTACAGTCAGACCATTCCGTTTGCTTTAAATCTTGAAATTATACAATGAAATAAAAAAATTAAAAACCTGTTCATGCTATATGTTGGGTTTTTTTTTTTGGACTGTGATTAAAATGCTGTTTAGTTTTGTTTTGTTTTGTTACGTTACGTTACGTTATATGTTGTTTTGTTTTGTTTTGTTTACAGGCCAGTTTAGCCTGTACACTCTAAAAAATGCTGGGTTAAATACAACCCAGTGCTGGGTAAAATAGGGACAAACCCAGTAATTGGGCTGTTTTGACCCAGCGGTTGGGTTACTACCCAGAAGGTTAGCAAATAAACAGCTTGTTCTTGTACACTTTCATTCTTTCTTATCACTTGCTTAAAGGGAAAAAAAATCAGTAAATCAGTATCGAAATCGGCTCATTTGTTTGCAAAAATTTTTTTAATAATTAAATAATAATAATAATAATAATAATAATAATAAAGGCAGCAGTTCTAATTTTTTTAAGCTTTTTGAAGTTTTTATTTGATATATTTTATAGATTAATTTCCATTAACAAAAACTATTTTAATAGTTTTAATTTTAGTTAACAATAACAAACCTGGTGTGATCATGTGTTATTCTAGTAAAATCACAGACGTCCTAGTTGGTACTGCGTTACAGAAAACAGACTATATTTGTAAAGGTCACATCTAGATGCTTTTCCATGCATTATGCCTTCAGCTGCAGCTCTTGTGTCAAAGGAAGGATTAAACCGAGGCTTTTATTCCAAACCTGTGCTGTATTCCCAGTCCACATATCACTGCTGCGCATTCATCATGATCACTGTAATTTATAAAGTCTGTTCTGACACTGCAGAACATGATATATTAGCATTCACTGGAATCTGCTTCCAAATAGCTCACTGACTGGCTCGCTTCACGAAAAGTAAGATGCATGACTGCTGATGTTTTTATCCTTAGTCTAGCTGCCTGGACTGTGGTTTTGGAAAGTGAGCATAACGCCAAGGGGTGGGTATTCTGAACTTGTCTGAGGAAAGTAAAACAGCGCTCCAAATCACCGGCTATCCGGTTTCTAGAGGGATTTCAAACAGGAAAGACTGCAGTTGCATGCGTGTGTGAGAACAGCCCACCCAAGCTCCTTAGGGAGAAAGCTTATGAATATAAGAGTGGCCTTTGTTTTCTGCAGGACATTCGAGGAAGTCACACACACCTACCAATAAATTGCACAACAATCTATAATCCAGTCTTCAGATTATGTTGGTTTACTGAATTCAGATCAAACTAGGTCATATTAAATTGTAACTAGGTGCCACTTTAGTTTATCAGAGTGTCTCTGCTTTCCATAAGAGTCATGAGTTTATGTTTTAAATTATATGCAGGCTGATATATTGATATATTTCCACTCCCCTGGTCTAAATCTAATGATGGTCCATTCTGACAATGAATTATATATATATATTTATTTATTTATTTGCTTGCTTTAAAGAAGTACCCTTATTTTGATGACTTACATTGAAAGTATTTGATTATAATTTTAACTGTAGTGTGCTATTCGATTATAATTATTTTCATAATTTTAACTGGAGTTTGTTTTTTGATATTACATATATACATATATATATATATATATATATACAGATATATTCATATATATTTCAATCATGACAACTCTCGGAACATTTTAGCATGGGGATGGATATGACAATGTTAATGTATTTGGTCTTGGCGGAACAGATCTGCTCCGCTGCTGCTGCTGAATTGCTGCTGCTGTTGGTTATTGCTGTAGTTGTAGATTATTGCTCTAAAGGTGCTGTTGACATGAAATTTTCACCAGATGTCGATAACAACCCAAGTAATCCATCCATACAAAGAGAACAAAACAAATAAGTTCAGAAATGAAGTTCAGTGTAATAAAATGGAATGACACAGAAAAAAAGTATTGAACACGCTTACTGAAATTTATTTAATACTTCGTACAAAAGCCTTTGACTTTCTCTGAAACCAATTGAGAGTTTCTTTGGCTGTGTGTTTGGGATCATTGTCTCGCTGGAATGTCCCTGGTTTCATCTTCATCATCCTGGTAGATGGCAGCAGATTTTTATCAAGAATGTCTCGGTACATTTTTCCATTCATCCTTATCTGCAGCATTTGGATTGTTTATATGTTTTTAATGATATGTTCAACTATGTATCCATATGTATAACACGACTGTTGTAAAACTGCATTTTTGTGATAATACAGTGTAATTACAATTAATAATGTTGCATATAAACCAGATGACACAAAACACTTAATATATGAATTATAACACTAACAAATAACAACTGTTTAATATTAACATTATTTAGATTTTTTTTTTTTTACTTGATAACAATTATTAATTTCTCTATTCCATAGCTATATATCTTCCACTGATCTAGAGAAGAATATTTCTTAAATACCTAAATCCTGGATATCAATATATCATGGTTTCTCTTTCTCCTTTTCTCTACTAAACTGATCAATTTAGGAGAAAAAATATTACCTTGTATTGCTTTTAATCCCTGGATGGTTGAATATTGCTTCATTTTGAGTTGCCCAGAATTTTAGCCAACGCTTTATTCAGCCATGGACTTGTGAGCTCTAAGCCGGATCTGTTGAAGCGTTCAGGAAGCCCTTGGCATATTCTCAACTCCCAGCAACACAAATATGTGCTAGTGCCAGTTTTCCCTCTGCTCCACTGGTGGCAGTTATGTACCGTAGGCCTATATCAAAGGAACACAACACAGACTCCTGGGAAATCTGGTCAAGCCCGTTTAAAACCACACCCCCAGTCACAGTTAGACATCTGTTTGACCGATGGAGGCTGATGTGTGTTAAACAGGAGAAGTGTGGGTGATGTGATTCAAAAAGGCATTGAAAGAGCACATGCGGTGACCTCTGCACCTGTTATTGTATATGAGACAACAATGAGCTCAGGAAACTTCTTAAATTATTATTGACAAAGCTGGCCTACACAGACGTGTCTATTCTTAGCACCCATATTTTGTTTCCTGATCATTTCCACTAATTGTGGCACATTCATCTGAATCATGGTTAGTAAAAATAAGAAGAATGTCATTGGTTTTGTTGTTTCATCATGTTATGGCAGAAGAGGGAGTATTAATATATGGGTGTGATAGTTTAACAAACCTGTTCTGGAAGTGTTGAAGGATAACGTTAGAAAGCGAACGGTGAGATAACCGTTATTTCTGTTAGATTTGATATAGCCTGCTTATGCATTTAAACATAAATAGATGGTGATTAGGTTAATACAACTGGGATAAGGCAAGGTTCTTCTGGTGACGAACAGTCAACAGAATGACTCGGCAGTCAGAAATTATATGTTACCTCTTCCCTGAACTCCAAACAGACACGACTGGCAACTTTCCCTCGGATTAATCCTTTCTTCAGCTTTGGTCTGGACTGAGCCTGACACTATATATCACCGGGGAAAGGCTGAATGATGTGAGGGGGGGAAACTGCAGACACAACATTTCAACACATCTCAAAATCCTCCCACAAACACATAGCAAACACTGTCATAAGAAATATTAGAGGCTGATTTAATTTAAAGCTGATTTAAAGTTAATTCTCCATCACTTGTTGAATGATGAAAGTATACTGCACATAATATGAGTGATAAAGTTGATAAAGAGGACAAGCAAAACACGAGTCAGATACAACACAAACTAAAACATTGTACAGAATTGAACACGTGTATCTCTGACAAGAAACCACTTTATTTAGACCTTGACTGAATACGATATATGATTATTAAAACTGCTTAGAAATACGTGCAAATTAGGTGCTTTTCAAACAATGGGAGAATTATAAAAGTGATTGTAAGTGTCTTCGAGTCTTCGAAACATAGAAGTATACAGGTCACATTTACTGTATTAAACACAATAAAATAAGACCTTTGTTTTAGTGCATTTTAATGAATAAAAATGGGGAAAAATGCAATGCTGCAAATAGAAGAAGTATTTTGGGTTTCCCAAAGAAACTTTCAGTTACAGGTCATTTTTGTCTGGTGTATTGCGCCCTCTGCTGGTTTTAAAATTACAACACTTTTCAGTTACAGCGCATCCAAATCATGTGAAAATAGACTTTACAGTCTCTGGAATACTTGACTCTGATTGGTCATTCTGTGGTCAGATATTTAGTGTAACTGTATAACCGACACTTGACACAAACTACTGATTTCCTACATCATCACGTGGCACGTTTCATGTCTCATTTTTCTGATATGATTAATTCATTAAAACTCAAACAAATAGTTCATGTCCATTTATTTATTTGTCAAGAGCCCATGGAATAAGCATGATAATGTACAGTCAGAAACTCTTAGGCTGATACGGGATCCCATTATGTCGCTAAACATGAGAAGTGACAGTGTCAGATGTGTGCAGGTATAATTAACCGGAGGTCCTCTTTTCCTTTATCATCTTTTGGTGTTCTGTGTTTCTCACTGTCTGTATGTCTTTCTCACTTTTCCACCACGGCCTGATCTGCAACGAGAAGACACAGTACTTCAGTTCAACTTACTGTATATGAAAGACTTTTTATTGTCAAAATATCTAAAATGGTAAAACAGCAGTATATAGGTGATGTTTTATCACTGATGCACTTCCAGAAGTTAGTAACATCAAAAGCCTCTAAAAGGTGATAGAAGGTGACTATATAATGACACAATGCATAATGTAAATGCAGTCCTACAGTACACCATCAGTATGTTTGATATTCAGAACTGGATATGGATGTACCTGAGGTGGCAGAATCCTTCTCATTGGTCTAAACAGAAAGCCCAGTAACTGCCTTGGGTTTCCACTTTAAGGAGGTGCTTATGAGAGTCTCATCTTCCTCTGCTTCTCCTCTGTCCTGCAGTCAAAACATGTTAGAAAAAAATAGGATTTGGTATCACGCAAAAATACTGTGCATCTTTTTATCAGGCTTATATAGGGTACAATAGAGCTAAAATGATTGTCCACAAACTGTATGATAATGATCAAAAAATGTATTTCTTTTAATTGAAAAATGTATGTAAAAAAATGTTAAAAATAATTTTGACTTGAATTAATCACTAGCTACAAAAATTTTACATACCGGTATTTCATTAATTTGCCCTGTTGTACCCTACTATTCATGGACACAGAATATGTTTTTAGTGTCTTGGTATGCTTTCATGTATTCAGGTTTATCATATTCTGTATTCATAGGCTTCATTTGCTTGTAACAGGTTTGAGATATAATTAATTTTGTTTTATCTTCTTAGAGGTTGGCAGTGTTTACTAGCATATACCAAGCTGTAACACTTCTGGCACTCCAGTGAAGTGCTTCATCCACTCGATGCTCTAAGGGCATTCCACTACTGACTACAGTCTATTAAGGAAAGAACACTGCATAAGACTGTTGTCTTCATGAGCCTCTGTTGGCATGCAGCAGGCAGCAGGCAAACTGCACTACTGAGAGGCAGAAGGTTGCCATAAAACCTCATCTCCAAACGCTGAAATGGCAATAGAGAGGATCTGGCCCTGATCACGATGAGGAGAACGCAACTTCACGGCCTTTTCTTTCTTACTGGTTGCTTCATCTAGTGCCGGCTGGAGTTTTAGTAAAGGAAGTTCATTTTAAACAAGAAAATTACCCTTTTGAAAAAGTAGCACACTTAGCATGCTTTTAAAAAGAGGACTTAATACTGAAATTAGTGTGAACTGAATATTACAGTTAGGTCCATATATATTTGGACACAGGCACAATTTTTATTATTTTAGCTGTTGACCAAAACATATTCAAGTTACAGTTATATAATGAATATGGGCACACTCTGAGCTTTAATTTGAGGGTATTCTCATCAAATATGGAGGAAAGGTTACCACAGGGTGCAAACAAGGCCAGAGTAGACTTTGCCAAAAAACATCTAAAAAAGCAAGATCACATGTGGAAAAGCATTCTTTGGACGGCTGAAATTAAGATCAACCTGTACCAGAATGACGGGATAAAAAAGTATGGAGAAGGCTTGGAACAGCTCATGATCCAAAGCATACAACATCATCTGTGAAACATGGTGGAGCAGTGTGATGGCATGAGCATGGCTTCCAGTGGCACTGGGTTACTGGTGTTTATGATGTGACAGAAGACAGAAGCAGCCGGATGAATTCTGAAGTGTATCGAGATATACTGTCTGCCCAGATTCAGCCAAATGGAGCAAAGTTGATTGGACGGCGCTTCTTAGTACAAATGAACGATGACCCAAAACATACAGCAAAAGCAACCCAGGAGTTTTTGAAGGTAAAAAAGTAATTATTCTGCAATGGCCAAGTCAATCTTCTGATTTCAACCTGATTGAGCTGCATTTCACTCGCTGAAGACAAAACTAAAGGCAGAAAGACCCACAAAGTCAGCTGAGGTAAAGGCCTGGCAAAGCAGCACAACGGAGGAAACCCAGTCTCTGGTGATGTCCATGAGTTCCAGACTTAAGGCAGTACACTCTGAGCTTTAATTTGAGGGTATTCTCATCAAATATGGAGGAAAGGTTACCACAGGGTGCAAACAAGGCCAGAGTAGACTTTGCCAAAAAACATCTAAAAAAGCAAGATCACATGTGGAAAAGCATTCTTTGGACGGCTGAAATTAAGATCAACCTGTACCAGAATGACGGGATAAAAAAGTATGGAGAAGGCTTGGAACAGCTCATGATCCAAAGCATACAACATCATCTGTGAAACATGGTGGAGCAGTGTGATGGCATGAGCATGGCTTCCAGTGGCACTGGGTTACTGGTGTTTATGATGTGACAGAAGACAGAAGCAGCCGGATGAATTCTGAAGTGTTGGTTGTAATTCCTAAGCGTTTTATATTTTTGTTCAACCCCTTGAATTATAGCTTAAAGTCTGCACTTCAATTTCATCTTGATTGTTTCATTTTAATTCTATTCTGGTGGCATACAGAGCCAAAATTATGAAAATTGTGTCAGTGTCCAAATATATATGGACCTAACTGTATATTTTCAGACACTTAACCACATGTTAATTGCAATTTAGTGAAAATGTATTATAGTTTAAAATTATATTAACTGCAATTAGCTGAACTTTAGAGTGCTTTTTTGATCCCCTTAAGTTGGACTTAAGAATCTTTATATGTAATTTCATAACTACTTCCATTGTCTTTGAAATATGGTTATAGTTTACTGTCGAATGTACTGACAAGGATTTATGATAAACTAAAATATACTACTGATACAATACAATTATTTAAATATATTTTTACTTACACTTTTGTAATAACAAAGTTTCAATTTATTACATTTAAAATACATACACTTTAAATGTAATATTGACAAACACATGACAGTTAAAATAATTAAGTACTTAATATGTGCTTTAGTATGTTAGTCAACACATCACAATAAGTGTACTTCTCTGAAGCATGACAAAAGTTTACAACATAAGGATTTAAAGTGTATTTTCAATGTCAAACTTTTCATTTGACTTAATTTCAGTTTTTAAAGGTGTACTTAAGTGTGTTAAGTGAAAGTGTGCTCTCTTTAAATACACTTAAGTTGGCTTTTTATTTCATTCATATTAATGATAATATTGTTTTTTTTATATATATATACTTTTAAGATTTGAACAACACTACAAGTGCATATTCTATACATTTAAGTGCACTTCTTTTTCACAAGGGTATGTAAACAATTCTCTTAACAAGCTATATACCAGCAAAACACTGGTGAGACCGAGGAAACAGGTTTCTGCAGGTTTATATGATCATTTCCCCTAAAATACATTCTCATGAAATGTAAAGACATCTTGTAAAGCATGAAGAGACATACCGGCTCTAACTGGAAATACTCTCCATGCTGCTCACAGCCAATGTCAAACACATACTTCCCTGGACCAGAGGGCTACAAAATAACAATGACAAGAAATAAGAGATCACTGTGTGAGAGAAATGCAAGTGTCTTGTTATATTCAAGGCTGAAGTTAATATAGAACACATTAAAAGTCTATATTTTGTTTAGGATGCACAAATTTGAAAGTCAATTAGGTCTATTTATTCTGCTATTTGGACTATACAGTTAGTTGCATTTTATTATGAAATAGTAATGCTCAGAACCACAAATGTAGAGTGTTACTTACATTATTATTGACAAAGTTGCCCTGATATCTGTGGTTCAGATGGATCAGCTCCCCGGTGGACTCCATCTTTCCCATGACCCATGTGCCCATGTACTGAGACCCAGTTTCGTGATGTGTGTATGTACCCTGCCCATGTCTAAGAGAGAAACACAGAGATACAGTAGATACTTAATAAGAATGTTTTGACATTCATTTTTAGCTGAACTGAAGACGTTATGAATGCTGTTGTAACTAATATCCATAGAGTAGACATATTAGATTACCAGATTAGATCAGTGAGAAAGAGAGTTAAAAAAAACTACCTTTCATGGTGCAGCCATTCACCATCATATGTGTCTCCATTGGGGTATGTGTAAACACCATGACCCTGCCGCTGGTCATCCACCCAGCTTCCTGTGGAGAAATATGATATGAGAAGATTGCATTTTATGCTATAAATCCTGGGGGAAAAAACTAAGACCACTATAACTATTATTTCTACTTGAATACAATATTTTTAATTATAAATTATATTACCAGCATAATAATTAAAGTGAAAAGTTGATATGAAAAATGTACATTCATTTCTAAATGTTTTTATGAATTTATAAATATATACTATTGTTCATTGTTAGAATAAATGTACTTACAAATAACTATTTAAATTATAATGATAAATTATGTTCATTCACACAATTCGTAATGTAAAATATATATATGTAGAAATTAACATTAACATACTGTAGATTGATAAGTAAAATCAATGTTATGTTAGTGTTACTTATACTGTTATAGTTTTTATTAATATTTTGAATTAGCTTTTACATTTTCAATATTTCTTTAATATTTCTAAATAGTCTTAATTAATTCATTTGTTTTTTATTTCAATGTATTTTATTATTTTTATTCCAGTTAGTAGTTTCGACTTATGTTGGAACTTTTTTCAATTAGCATTTCAAAATTTGCACAGGTTTTTTTTCTTTCTTTTCACTGGTGTTAGTAGTATAGTATTATATTTTATTTGAGCTATTATGTTATTTTATTTTATTTTTAGCTATATTTAATTAACAAAGATCTTTTTAATAGTTTAGTGTTAAGTTCATTGTTCATTATAACTAATGCATTAACTAATGTTAACAAACTGAACCTAAATCAAATCTACCTATGTTGAGATAATATAACGTTAGATAATGATGACTCACCTTCATATTTGGAGCCATCTGGGTAATAAAATATACCCTGTCCATGTTTTAAATTCATGTACCATTCTCCAATGTATCTGGCTCCTTTCTTAAACTTATACGTCCCCTGATATACAGACAACAAAAGGTTTATCGTATGTTTATGCTTATGAGAACAGAAACTGCATAAACGGTCAAAGGCAACTGAGGAAAATTAAGCTAATGAGGGAGTTTGATTAGCAAAATGACCTGGCCACATCTCTTGCCGTTTTCATAAGCTCCTTGGTAAGTGTCTCCCTTCGGCAGGACAGCTTTGCCCTGTCCATGTCTCTCTCCAGCTTCATTTCTGTCTCCCTCATACTCCTGCAACACACGACTACTGTCATCTACTGTCAACTCACTGTCACTTCAGCCTAACTAGCGTTACTGACAATAACTCACCCCCAGAGAGCCTTGCTCTTCGTCAAAGTCTTCAGAGCCAACGTCTGACATGATGAACTAGAGCTTACTGAACAGAGAAGAGGGAACAATGCCAAAGCAACAGCTTCAGTTCGACACTGTTTACCGTTACCATAGTAACGCGCGTGTCAGTCAAACAGACACGGGCAAAGCAACTTTCGAGTTTCGACCAAGAACAACATCTCATATAGCACTTTTTTATCCTAGTGTTTTTATTTTTTATATTTATATGTTTATTTTATGTTATTTTTGTTGTTGTTATCTGTTATACATACTTTGAACTGTACGACACTACCTTATTTGCCTTGTACTTTCTGCATTGTACTTCTATCTATCTATCTATCTATCTATCTATTTGGAAATATAAAATACACATTAATGAAATTTCTATTGAAACGAAGTGAAAGGGAAAGTGTTCTGACACGTTAATATAAACGAAACAGAAAAACATACATTTACTTTCACTATATATCTCTCTCACTTATTAAAAACGCTTTGATCTGAAAGCTTGGCTTAATGCTTGAAGTTGAATTTGAAGACAAATGCAAAATAAATAAATAAATACATATTTATTGTAAATAATACAATAAATACACACACACAATAATTTTGCTTTTGACTCCTCGTGTTTGATTTTAGTGTATACGTTTTTATTTTAATTTGCGTTGTAAATTTTATTTATACAATCTTTACAAAGTGTAAACCTGAAATGTAATAGTAATAATAATAATAATTGTTATTATTGTTATTGTTTAGATATAATATTAATCATATCAGTGTTATGTTGGCTATTATGTATTATAGTTACGTGACGTTTATTTTGGCAGGATTGTAGCCCGTAACAAAAAAGCTCGTGACTGACCAGATGACTCAGTTTAGAGAGTCACGTGACCAGTGTTCTCTAAACTCGGGATGTGAGACAGAAACAATCATTTAGACTGCTGCAGGTCGGACAGCACGTTAGTGTTTCTGCGAGCCTGTGCGGACATGAACTGTATGGTTTACTTCATTCACGCGGCGCTGCACTGTTGGATTGTGGGACAGCAGGTCTGGCCAGAGCCTTACAAGTAAGTCGCAGGACCACAATCACACTGCCAGCAGGGACTAATGTGTGCATATTGTTTCGTTTTCAGTCGACTGTTTTCAAGTTACTTTTCACGATGGTTTATTGGTTTAATTTTTTTCAGTTAGTAGGCTATTCAAATATTAATATGAAAATTAATCACACTATTTGATTTATTATACGCATACAGTTATACACGAACTTATATTGCCAAAAGTATTGGGACACCCCCTTCTAATGAACAGGTTTGACTACTTTAGTCATTTCCATGAGTACAAATCTTAATGTTTAAGCATATAATGCTATTCTAGGGAATTGTGTGCTTCTAATTGTATAGCAACAGTTTGAACAGGACCCTTTTCTGTTATATCACGAGTCACGACAATGACCCCGTGTATAAGGCAAGCTTCAAAAAGAAAAGATTGATTCAGTCAGTGTGGAAGAACTTGACTGGTCTGCAGAAAGCCAAGTCCTAATCCCAGCTGAACACCTCTGGTGTGACTTTAAATGCAGACCTTGAGCAAAAAACTCATCTTTTGCTATAAAATTAGAAGCACACAATTCCCTAGAATAGCATTATATGCTTAAACATTAAGATTTGTACTCATGGAAATGACTAAAGTAGTCAAACCTGTTCATTAGAAGGGGGTGTCCCGATACTTTTGGCAGTATCTCCAGTGAAAAACTACTTCACGGTTTTATTCTGATAAATGTTAATTTTGTTATATGCCATGCACCAACCCAGTGTCATATTCATTTCTAGGCGACTTGACCGGCGTCCAGATGTTGATCCCTACTGCCAGGCTTTATACCCATTCTGCCCGAGCGGGGATCCAGACGGCCGGATGCCCGTGATGAGAGACTCGGACATCATCTCAGTGTTCAGACTGCAGACTCCGGTGTGGGAGTTCAAATATGGAGACACGCTGGGAAAGTTTGTAAGTGAATAGCAGACCGCTGGCATGTAAGAGTTTGCTCACTGGAGTCTAACCGAAGGTTTTGCACTGTTCAGCATGTCATGCATGATGCCGTTGGCTTTGGAAGCGCAAGAACGGGCAGAAACTTCACCTTGGAGTGGTACGAGCTGTTTCAGCTGGGGAACTGCACTTTTCCGCACGAGAGAGCGAGCGTGAGCGCACCTTTCTGGTGTAATCAGGGAGCCGCGTGCTGCTATGACGGCATCGATGACGTTCACTGGAAACAGAACGGCACTCTGGAGAAGATCGGAGAGATTTCAGGTAAGCCTGGCGTACACTCAGTTTAAGGACCAAACAATAATATTAATTATAGTAATATGTATTATAATATTTATTTTTATTATTATTAAGCACACGCGCATGTCCATGTTTTATGGGTACATTCCATAGGCATGATGGTTTTTATACTGTAAAAACTGTATTTTATATCCCCTTACCCTAAACCTACCCCTCACACAAAACTTTCTGCATTTTTAGATTTTCAGAATAGATAGACATTCTGCGTGATTTACAGTAAAAGCTGTTTTCCTCATGAGGACCAAAAAATGTCCCCACGAGGACAAAAGGATTTCAGATATTGGAACATTTTGTCCCCATAAGGAAGGGAACACCAGGACGAAATAATAATTTTATATACTATTATTATTCATATATATTATTTCATGACCAAACAGTAGTATTTTAACTAGGGATGCACCGATACCACTTTTTCCAGTATTTGCCCGATACCGATACTTTTATTTTTGGTACTTGCCGATACCGATGCCGATACCTATATTTTTATTACATTTGTAAATTTTTTAAATATTGGGTACAGAAACCAAAAGGGTATGTATAATGTTAGTTGGTTAACTTCATTTATCAAATAGATACAGTCAAACCAAAATTTATTCAGACACCTTCAACATTTCTCACATTACATTCGCTATAGTTTAGAAAATGGTAATAAAACATGACAAGAACTAAGAGTTTTCCACGACATTCTAATTTATTGAGATGCACCTGTATTATTATTTGTGTAGTTATTTATATTTAATGTCGGGGGGAAAAAACTAATCAAAGTAAATCATAAAAAATAAAAAAAAAAATCCAAATGTTTTTGCCCAAAAATAGAAATAAATTACAGAAAGAGTAGTAAAAGCATTAATTGTGGTAATTTTGTAATCGTAAACTCTTCTACTTTTCTTTTGAAGGATATAAAATATATTTAATATCTTTCACCTAAATGTATAAAACAATACTATAAGAAACATTCATGTCAGCTAGCTAGATAACATTACATTGGTGATGTTGACACAAGCAGACTTTAAAACAGAATCTCTCGTGAACGACGAATTAGGAATGCTGGAGCAGCCTGAAGCTCGCAAACATACCGCCCTGTGTTTTCGGTTTCATTACGATTTTATTTTTATTAGGCGAGATGTTCAATGAGATGGCTCGCTGGGTTCAGGAGGACAATGAAACGGGTGTTTATTATGAGACTTGGACGGTGAAGTCAGATCCTGGTGCAAACTCCACCACGTGGTTTGAGTCCTACGACTGTTCTCAGTTTGTGCACCGCACGTATAAGACGTTACTGGATATGGGTGCCGAACTGTCCAGCCAAACGCCAACATATTACACCAAGATCTATCTGTACAGCGGAGAGCCGCTCTATTTGGGAGACGACTCCATCTTTCAACAGTCTTCCACGAAAGATCTCGCCACAGACATCAAGAAGTTCTACCACTCGTTCCGCTCTCACCAGTCAGTCGTAGAAATGATTGGGAGCTTGTTGGAGGCTTTTGAAAAGATGGTCCTAGAGAAGACCTTCTACTTCTACTACAACTCTGAATATTGGAAGCTGCCGATGAAATATCCTTACGTTAAAATAACCTATGAGGAGATTCCTTTACCATAACCACTGTATTGTTTTTGCCTAAACGATATAAAAAAAACCTCAAATTATTTTTGCTACTAAATAAAATTACATTTTAAATTTTCTATTTCCATTCCAGATGATGTCAGATTTATCAGATAAAGTGTTAATAATTTATACTAAGGCAAAAATCCTTTTTAATGTTTTATTGTTGTTGCTGTAATATTGCTGCCTTAATGTAAATGATCTGTAAAACAGCCACACAATTTTTCTCACAATGTTTATTCGTCCTTATTTCAATAAAAGACAATGTGCATGTTTTTACAACAACACAAAAAAGAAATGTGATGCTTTCATATTCGCAATACAAGCAATATGCTCACTTGCTTCAGAAAAAAAATCAAATGCACAAGCACTGGGTTTGATGCTATTTGTACATTTTTCTAATTTCCTATGCTCTGGTTTACATTGAGTTGATGTAATGCGTGCGCTTCAGCTTGCACTTCCAAAAAGCTAGTCTAACAAAAAGCCTTTCGTGTCAAATTGGCAAGATATGCGCTGCTGACTAAAGCCGAGCTCGTGTGTTTTAATTTGTATGTGAACTACAGGGCTGTGGCTTCCCTTTTCTGATCGTTTTCAGGAATATTTCACTTTCAAATGCTGGCAGGAATCTTAGTTTACTTAATTTAGTCGCTACAACAATTTGCAAAAGCTAAAACAGCTTTAATTCTGGATAACGGGTAAAAAAAATAAAAATATTACATTCTATTGACTAATGATATAATATGCATATAAATCGACAAGGAGCCTCTCACTCAAAGCTTAACTATCAATATAAGCCGATTAATAATAATAAAAAGTATATCGATAAATTACACTGATCAAATCTAATTACAAGGGTACAAAGATCCATCAAGAGGAGTAATTCCAACACATCATCTGAAAGAGATCAGCACAGAAACACTTCAAACCTCCACAGAAGGTGCGCGAGAAATAAGTATTTCTATTTATATCAAACACACAGCATTTTATATACAGACACATGGGACTTCCTTCTTAAAGGAAAATGTTTTCACTGCTTCACTCCAATATTGAATCATATTGAACTGAAACGAAGGGGCTGCGTTGCGTGCATATCCAGACTAATTCATTCATTATATGGTCGTATCCCATTCAATTTGTCATTGCACAACATTCTTCATGCAATCTAATAGAAACCAATCAACGCTTCATTGTATCCCTAAGATGCTTTTACAATATTCTTCCAAATCTGAGGACACAGGTGTGCTGTGAGCCGAACACTGATCCTTTCGTTTCCTTCCTCTCTGACATACCTGAGACCTTGAAAATATGCGGTTTTATTATTCTGCGCCCTCTTCCCTGCTACACCAAAATATGAGCAACTAAACCACCAGATATATATAAGGTGCATATTATTCACTATACATCTTTGTACAAAAGCACTGCAATACCAAACCTGTTATATTACAAAATGTTTGAATCACATAAAATATAGTTAATCATCTATCTACATAAACCAAAAGCCCAACCCTGATGGCTGTGCACTTCTTTTTATCTGTGTTGGTTGAACACAGTGAGAGGCCACTAGTTAGCAAGGGACAACCACTCTCACTAGTGTTATGGCTTTTCATGCCACTAGGAGGAGCTGCTGAAGATTCCTAGTGAGAACCTGCTACACAAAGTAGCCTTCTGATTGGTCGGATTAATAAAAACGCTAGAAGCTGGGATGGGCTCCAACATCCCTGTGGACAAGCATTTGGGAAAATGGATGGTTAGTTGCTTAAATGTTGAGCCACTGAAGACAGATACACAGCGGGACTAAGAAATAGTGAAGCATCTGCTGAGAATGTCAACAAAGACAAAGAGCCTATTCATCTAGATGCATGAATAATGAAAATCTGCATCTAAATAAAACAGCTTTCAGTTGCAGTTTCTTTTCTAGATGAAATTTCTCATTTTTGTCCTGCAAAATAACCTGAAAATGTAACTTACACTATATACATGTTATTCCATGTACAGCAATCCTTGATTTAGTTTTATAAAGGAAATGTCCAGAGGGAAAAAAAAAAAGATAAATTGGTAAATTTTACAAAATATCCAGGGCTGCGTTTCCCAAAAGCATTGTAAGCATTCATTCATTCATCAACTTAGGCTTACGATGCTTTTGGGAAACGCAGCCCAGGTTATGTTACATCTCAAAAATCAATAATGCAAACTTATTTGTCACAAATAAGCTTAATTTTGTGATTTATATTGTAAAATATTTAGATCCTGGCAGTTTTTTAATATATAGATCATAGTGAATTATGTTGCACTGCCTTTATGCCGATTAAATAACAATAGAGCTGTAGCAATTACTTTATTGCAATAACGAGTATGTAATGGGATTAATAAGTCAAACAATAACTCAAAGAGATGATACTGGAAAAAATACTTAATTATGGCAAAAATCTTAATGTTCCTTAAATGGGCTTCATCTCTTTTTGATGCAACATCTAATTTAATATAATTATAATTTTTTGTGCTTTAATAATAAGGTGAAATGCTATATTTTCTCATTAAATGGAGATTTGCCTCAACATGCCATTAAAGAAATGGTTCATCCAAAAATAATATAAACGCTGTCATCATTTACTCACCCTCATGTCATTCTACAAACCTGTATGACTTTCTTCTGTGATGTGTGTGTGTGTGTGTGTGTGTGTGTGTGTGTCAATAATACAATGATGTTAATGGACACCAAAACTAATATCAACATTCTTCAAAATATCTTCTTTCATGTTCCACAGAAGAAGATCATACATGTTTGAAAGGACTCAAGGGTGAGTAAATGATGACAACATGTTAATTTCTGCGTGAACTATCCCTTTACAACAGTTCACATTCATTATAGCAGTGTGGGAATATACATCTCAAATCAAACCAACTGTGAAACTCACACAAAAAGCCATCGAGTCCATATTACCGAAGGCTTACAGGTGTCCCAGTCTGATTACTTTCTGTGGTCTTCTGAACACAACAGATGAACATTTCACCAGGTGGGCATCATATCTGGAAACCAGACGTGCCCGAGGTGCTTGGACACTTCCCAGTGGATCTCATCCAGGCTGTATTTGTGGTCTGGGATGAGCACCTCCTCCATGATGGAGAGCTGAGAGAGACGGCGGCCACACATCTTCACGAACTCCACGAAAGCGCTGCAGGAGACCTCGCACTCGCCCAGTCCGATGGCCGACAGGTGCTGGCAGCGCTCTGCGATACGGATCAGCTCCTCGTCCAGCGGCCGCAGACCGTTTGCACACACCACCAGCTCCACCAGACGCGGACAGTTCATGCCCACGCGGCCCAGGACCTCTTTGCTGACCGAGCGGCCGAAGTAGAGGTGCGTAACGGGGATCTCGTCGCGGAAAAAGGGACATGACCAGGTTGAATTTGGGCGAATGGCGCACAATGTCGTCCCAGCTGCTCTTCTTGATGGTGTGGAACTGCTGGCCGGGGTTCTCGCTCACCACGTCTATGCGCAGATAGCAGCAGCTCGTCGCTCAGTAAGTGATAGTTCAGAGCCAGCTCTCTCAGACCGTGACACTGATCAGCGACGCACAGAATACCTGCAACAACAGCAGACTGATGAGATTCACCTGCACTAGACAGTGGACACTACAAATAATATACAATCTGACTGACATCCATGCACTCTAAAGCACAGCTGTTTGATCAAAATAAGTGTTAACATCTGACTAGGGCTGTCGAGTTTCCTCGATTCAATTCGAGTATTCTATTTTTAAAAAATCATTGACATTTTGCCCGTGCCGAGTATAGGGATGGGCGATAGGGATGTAACGATGAACCGCGAGCCGGTTGAAAATCGATTCAAATATGTGACGATGCCGAACAAATCGCGATTCAATTGGAGTAGGAGTTTATATGAATGTATATCTGAGGGGAACTGATTGTCTTTCAAAAAGTTTACGTGGTATTTTCTTTTCATCTTGCTTCTGAACGATGCATATTAAAGTAGTGTTCATAAGCGCAGCTCTGCTTTGTTTACAGCGGTAAGCTAGGAAACACTGTATCATTGCTGTTCATAAGCGCCACCTGCTGGCAGAGAGTGAATTTGCGTCTCATTCAGCTCGTCTGCTGTTTCGTTCAGATGTTTTATGTAATATAGTTTCACAAAACTAAAGTCAGGCCATTATGTTTTTGCTTCAAATTTCGAAATTATACAGTCTAATTTAGATTAAAAACTGCTCATGCTGCATGTATGCTGCATCTTTGTTTGGATGATGATTAAAACGCAGTGGTTGCCTCTCATTTTAAATGGAAAGAGCACAGACAAAGCCTTAGTTTGTTTATATGAAAAGATTTATTTTGTGTAACTTGCTAATTTGATTCGGGGTTTGTTTTAAAATTTCAGTTTAGTTTTGTTATATTTCGATTTCACAAAGAAACATGCAGCAATAGCCTAATAAAAGAACACCTTCTTATTTACTGTATAATGTCTTCAATCTCATTTTGTTAAAAAAAAAAAATTTGTGAGAAAATCGAATCGTGAAATCAAAATCGAGAATCGAATCGTGAGTTGAGTGAATCGTTTCATCCCTAATGGGCGATATCTTGTCGTTTGCGATATACCGGTAAAAATTCTCCTCAAGATAAGAATTAAGTCTTCCCGCGATAATAACGATAAAGTCTAGTTGTTGACATATTTCTGTGTGCGACTGTGCGGAGCGACATGGCGGAGTTTATCGCTAAACGAGAAGCTCCTTCTACAATCTGGAACTAGTTTGGTTAGGGCTGTACAGTGCACAAAAAATTGGTCTGAATAAATGTACTACAGTAGCATGTGTGTGTTACAGTTTTGCATGTGTATGAGCCTGTTTACAAACCTGTTGTCCATTTCATCATAAATCATTAATAAAATTTCTCTATCTGCGCTTTATTCAGCTACAGCGATAACTGGATACCTTTGTCCATATTGGGGATTTCTCTGCTATGGATATGTGGAGTTTCTGCGCAAGGGCGCCCTCCGGCTTCCAGTATGAATTAAAGAGTCATCACATTACGTGTGTACTCAGTAATGCTCAAAACACCCTATTTTGGGTAAAAACAGTAAAGAAAATACTTTTCTCTAAAGAAAAAGAATTCCCTGAATTATCGTTATTGATATCGTTTCTGGTATTTATTGTGATATATTTTTAAGCCCATATCGCCCATCCCTAGTCGAGTAACCGGCAAAATACCAGAAGTGGTGCATTCCATGGACGAGAATCCATGAAACGCATTATTAGACCATTTTCCAAGGCTGCATAATATATTAAACCCATTTAAAAATCATAACCAAACCTTTAAACTTTACCTATAAACCAAACCTTTATGCACTTTTATTGGACTTCATAATCTCAACCCCCATTCACTGCCATTATAAAGCTCGGAAGAGCCAGGACATTTTTTAATATAACTCTAAGAAAGTCATATACACCTAGGATGGCTTGAGGGTGAACTATCTAATGGTGTTTGCTGTCAATGCTCCATATTTGTAGTCCATACAACCTTTGTAAACTATTTCAGATTCTGGAGTGGGGAGATTTTCGGTGAACAAGGAATTAAATTGCTTTATTATTAAACTGCTTTGTTACTCTCTGTTTTGCATGAAACGGCTTAGAAAGACTTGGTACCTAAAGCACAAGTGATATGGATTACTTTCCATGTACTGTTTTGTCGATTTGAAACTTAATAGCGCCCGTCCCCATTTACTTTCACCATATGGGAAAAAAAATAAAAAATGTCAGGACATTTTCTACTTGAATTTTTGGCTTCCATTGGAGAGTGAAAGTCATGCAGGTTTGGAATCAAGTGAGAGTAAATGATCACAGAATTGCTATTTTGGGTGAACTATCCCTTTAAAACCACAGGGACTAATGAGAACAAACATCATGGAAAGTGTGTTGTTACTTTCTATTTTTTGTATATCTGCCATACAGTAGCAGCTCATCGGGGCTTCAACAGATCATTTCACTGTATCTGTAGTACCATCAGTCCAATCAGAAAAGGGTGAAAATATTGGTGTGCACTTATTACAATAACTCCAGCAGTCTCTATGAGGAGCAGAAAGACGGTGCTTTGTTTTTTCCCCCATTGAGTTGGCCAGCCAGTCTTGTCAATAAGCTGTAAAACACACGTTATCATATTCTGCCTGTACACACCTTGTTTATTAGCAGCACATGACTAAGTACACGTAACATGAGTTTGAACAACAAAAGTCACAGACAAATGACATTGTGAGACTTTTCAGAGGTCATAACTATAAACTGTTGTAGGTCATTATATCCCACTGTGTGAATGGCCAATATTTTGATTCTATTCTATTTCTACAATTTACACTGCCGTTCAAAAGTTGGGGTTAGTAGTTTATTTTTAAATGTTTTTGAAAGTTTTGCTCACCAAGGCTAAAATGAAACAGTTAAACTGTAATAATATTCCACAATATTAAATAACTCTTTTCTACTTGAATATATTTTAAAATGTCATTTATTTCTGTAATGGTAAAGCTGAATTTTCAGCATCATTACTCTTCAGTGTGACATGATCCTTCAGAAATAATTCTAAAATGCTGATTTGCTGCTTAAGAAACATTCTGTATTATCAAATGAACAACATTTAAAAGAACGGCATTTATTAAAATTTTCTGTAATGTTATAAATGACTATGCCACTTTTGATCACCTTAATGCATAATTTCTGAATAAAAGTATTAACTCCTTAAAACAATACTGAACGATAGTCTAAGTAGTTTGTTTTACATTTGATTACTTGTGTATTTATTCTGAATGTTTACTTAAACACCAGTTAACACAATTATTATTTTTTTGCTTATTAATCATTTCAGTATGAGAAAATTTTACATTTACTTGAGCATATATACTAAACACTATATTCTAATTAAAATGATTAGTATGAATATTCATATTTAAAATAATTATTAATAATTACAATCAAATAATTTATTTTGTTAATTAAAATTACTAAAACTTTTCAAATAAAATAATGTGCTCAAGCAA